CTCTGTCCTGTAACGACCTGATCTGGAATAAACTCTGTTACTTTTTTACTCCTGTTTTATAGTCCTTTTTACATGTTATTACCCAGTTTGAGTTAAGAGTAGTAAATAACTTGCTCCCAGGAAAAGAACCGTGAGGAAGTCCCTGAGATGCAACGGCTTTTTTAAAGGGGACATAACTTCCTCATTTAACATGCTGGTACTGGCACTTACATTTTTTAGTTTATAAACCTAAATATAATTGTTAACTAGGCTTATTAATTTTTTAACTTTACTTTTTAACTTCTCAATTAGTTTTTGACCTTTTTTTCTCAACTTGTTAACTTTTTTTCACCTTAATTTACAGTAGGTAATATATCATTCAAAGACTCATCTAATTGGCCAAATACCAAAATCAAATGTACAGCCATGTAGCACACTGCAAAAAATTTGGTTTGTCTTAAAACTAGAGCCATTTTGCAAATGGAAGGAGACAGTTTTCATTTAAAATAATAAAAAAACAAAACAAATGCATTGTCTTATTTTAAGTGCATATTATCTAATTATCTTATTCTAAGAGTGAAAATACTAATTCCATTGGTAGACTCTCATTTACCTACTCAAATTAAAGGTAAATACACTTTCAAAAATGTTCACTTTTTTGTATATAATTTTTCCAGAGCAGCATCTTTGTTGAATGGCTGGATATAGATCTTGTGCTTCTAGAGCGGTTAATGTACAGACAGTCTTGAAGAAATAAAACAGAGATTGACATTAAATTTGTAACTCACCAGACGGATCTGAGGAAGGTTTGGACTTGCAGATGGTGTCTACTACCTTCTGTTTGATTGCATCCAAGCTGCCAAAGTTCTGCACAGTGAAGAGCTTCCTGGGATCACCGGTGATCTGCAGCAGCTGCAGGTCATGGACGTCACCAACGCCTATGGCAAACATCTCGATTCCTAAAGCTCTGAGACGATCGGCTGGATCCTCGACGTCATCTTCTGAATCTCCATCGGTGATTAGCACCAGGTTCTGTGAGATCCCTGAAGATCTACGGCTGCCGCGAGAAGCTTCAAAATATTCCCTGATGGAATCTAGAGCCAGTCCGATTTTGGTGCCTCCACCCAGCTGTCTTAGGTTCAGGATTTTGCTGGACACCTCCACCTCCTGGAAGAACTCGTTTAGGTAAAACCCGTGCTCGAATTCGCTGCTGAACTGGGCGAGTCCCACGCGAACCAAATCCTGGCTGACTTTAAAGCTGTTCACCAGTTCAACAGTGAAGTTCTTCATGATGGTGTAGTCTTTTGGGTCGATGCTGCCAGACTGATCAATCAGGAAGACCAGGTCAGCCTGCTGTTTCTCACAAACTACGGGAAAAAAAACAACAGATGTTTTTTTTAGGGAGAAAAACTGCTGGAATGAAAAGGTTCAAAGATGCCTCCTCTGCACCGCAGCTAGAGAAGGTAAGGCAGATAGAGGGAGTGTAACAATGAACAATGAAAAAATGGGGAAAAAAATCTTTCATTACTTTAGAGACAGCATGAAAAGTCAGCTGAGTACAAAACATAGAGAGGAAAACAAGAAGAAAAGGGACAAGAAGAGAGGGACAGATAATGGATGTCTATTCTATTAACATTTCTCTATCTGGAGAATGGGGCTGTTCTATGTGTTGTCTTCTAGATTCAGA